AAATTTGATGCATTTCTTAATTTATTATCATCTTTGAGAGGACTATATATGTATATGATTAAACTTTTAATAAGATTTTGAACCTATTTTTAATATATGGAACAAAGTGTAATGATATATATCATTATATGATTGATTTATTAATAACATCATTACAAATCGAGCACTTTGTATAACAAATCTAGAAGCGGCAAATAATTAGCCGCTTAAAGATAATGACATGGCGAGGTACAGTTCGTGTGGAACATCAATTTAAGTGGAGTAAACTTTAAATAGACGTCCATAGTTTACAGGCGAATTAATTCCTGTGCGCATTTCACTTAGCAAAATTACTCGACTAGAGTTGCACACAGATTTCCTCCATCGATCTATCTGTCTCTCTCTTCCTTTCTCTCTTTCGGAATAGTTTCTCAGGAATGCAAATTGAACGCAAAATGACTGAAAATTAACAGGATGCGAACTTGATATTAAATTAACTATTTGATTTAATATTCGTGATACGCATACGCAGCATTGTAATATAATATGTGTATGTTGCTCATTATATAGGAATTAATTAATTCCATCACGTATCATAATTATTTACGCGTGATGCGAGTAACGCAAACTAATTTGAATATAAAACGGAGAAATTGACATTGATTCTTTATTCGATTAAATTGCAAATATACGATGTCGAGAATATACGCGCGATATGTGTAATTAAATATGATATATCACGATTATTTAATTTTTCGTTTAACGTAAATTACTCTATGTTGCTACGCAATACGCGTTTCGTGTAATACATATTATTAATTCATGTCATTACGCATTACTCTTATGCAATAACAACGGAATCGATAATTACAATATTGCATATTCGTTGGTAGAGCGAATTTTAAATTTTCCCTCGACGCGGTCAGATCGTCTATAATCGAATTAGTTCGTTCCACGTGCTCTGCAAACTCCTGTCGAAAATTATGAAGGTCCGCTGCAACTCAGTCAACGTTTCCCGATATAGGTACACCGCATGTTGTATCGATCGCAGGCGACCATCGGTATTCCGCAAAACTGTGGCTATTTGCGATAGAGATTCTCCATATAATTTGGGTCGCATCTCTTTTATTATTTTATTTATATATATTATATATATATATATATATAATAAAGAGATAATATATCATAAGATATTTATTATATTATATATATAGGATGTCCTAGATCTACTGCATTATCTGTTAATGGCAGATTCTTGAGATCATATGGAGACGAATTTTACTCAGCGAAAATGTCGAAACAGGTTATTATTTTTTGCAAGTTTCCAATTTTTTCCATCATATATCTTTGTAACTAAGCCTTAAATTATAATTCTCTCTCTCTATTAAAGTTTAACTAAATTAACTAAATTAACTAAAAAACTGAAATTAACTAAAGATTATAGTTTTAATTCTCTATAAAGTTTATTTGCAAAAAGCTCTTCTTTTTAAATCGCTTATAACCCGAAAATTATTGATGCCTCGACATTTTTGCTGCGGAAAAATCATCTCAAAATGATCTCAAGAATCTGCTATTAGCAGATGGTGCGATAGGTCTGGGGTCCCCTGTATATATATGTATATATAATATAATAAGATATTTTTTATATAATATATAATAAAAATATATTAGGTGTACAACTTTGCTTCCGCCGTTTTCCTATAGATGGCTTTAGAAAACGGCGGAAGCAAAGTTGTACACCTAATAGATTACCGCAAACTTATTAATAAATTGCCGGTTGCAAAATTTAAATTTAAATAAAAAGTAGGATAGATTTAACATACTCTTTTATATTTATTTCTACTTACGGGAACTTATGAGGAAAAGAACTTTCAAAGACGAATAAAAATATCTATTCCTGGATTCAATTTTTTTTTCTTTTTTCAAAGTTCACATGAAATGCGGCACTACACAAATAAAATATTTAGCAATACAAAAGAGTTTAATACGCGTTATTATATTAAATTGTTATATTTTTTTTATATAATATACAAAACCGGAAATAAGAGACACGCGAAAAGTCGAAACTTTTATTCGAATTGCTCGATGCAATTGATGGTTCGGAGTGAATCTTTATACGACTTCAATATGATTCATGTATTTATGATAATTTGACGAGAAGTTTCGAAAGACGAACAAAACTTTGCCATCGGCTTCATTATCCTGCCGCAGCGTTCTTTTATCGTGGCGATTATGCCACGAGAAGTACGCAAAAGTCAATAATAACGTTTTTACAAGTGCACTACGCGAGATACGTGCCCTTTCTCTCTCTGTCTCTCTCTCTCTTTTTGTCTTTCTATTTTTCCTTTTCATCTTTTTTTTTTGAAAGCATACCATTCATCAACGTGTGCATAGTCGGGCCATATAACTCCATCTTAATTAAACCAGCAGATATGAAATTTGCATCTCTCTCTCTCTCTCTCTCTCTCTTTCTCTCTCTCTCTTCTTTCTCTTCTCTCTCTTTCTCTCTTTCTCTCTCTCTTTCTTTCTCTGGGCTGCACGACCGTGAATTTACTCGCCGTGCAAATTTTAACACGAAGCACCCACCGTTGTATACGAGTCAAATTTGCCGATTTGTGCTTGTGCATACGCCGAAAAATTAAATTGATATTGCATTATAAATTCAACAATTATCTCACTGCCTTCGAATCCACCCGCCTGTTTTCCCCTAATGTAATTCTTTTATGGGTAATAAGAAGTATATAAAAGTATACATAAGTATACAAATTGTCCCGGATTTTTTTCTATCATTAACAATCTTATCAGTTAATTTGAGAAAACAGATCTCTACTGCTCTCGAGTTATTTAATTTATAAAATTAAAGTTAATTTAATGCGTTTAATCAAACGCTGTTTATTTCTATTAACTAATTTTAAATCTCTCTCTCTCTCTCTCTCTTTCTCTCTCTCTCTCAAAACTTTTTTTCGATAGTTTTTTTTTATAAACAATGACTTTAAATGACTTTGTAATGACGTACAACTTTTCCGCAACGACGTAAGTTTGTCGTAAATAGAACGAATACGCGAGAGTCAGACTGGTCGAACCGTGTCCGCATAAATGACTTAATTCTACTGTTCTCTACTGTTTCGCAAAAAAGTTATGCTAATTCGTCAGCAGTCGATGGATGTTTCTCAATGCAAGTCAAATTTGTTAGAGCCCCTAGGCAGTCTTGATTATTCCTGAATTTTCGTATTCGCCGGAATTGTCGCACCTGACGATTCGACTCGTTGATTACGTTGAGGGGAAAAGAAAAAGAAGGCTGTCTTGAAAATCAAAAATTCAATGATGTTGCCGATGATGCCTGGAAAAAATATCAACGTTATAGCGCACTGAAATTACAGAATGCTGAATTTTCTTCACTACGTCAAGCAGTACATATAATAAAATCATAGTATATAATAAAATTGCGCAGTATTACTCGGAAAAGCAGTTTCCTGTATAAAATCATTTTAATGAGTTTCTATTGTCATGTGCATGTGTATGTGTATATATGTATTACTTTCTATATATCATTATATGAGACGACAGAACATTATTTACTCGAGATCAAAATACAGTGAAAAGAATGTGTTTTATCGCTCCATCTTGGAGTGTATATGTATATTTAATTAATTTTGTTCTTTGGAAAGAAATTTTATTTTAAAGAGAAAAAATTTGAAAAAATATATATATGCATAAATATATACTTCAATTCTACTGTACTTATACTGAAAACGTTTGCGCATTAAAAAATCCAAGGTACCCAACATCATTTAGAATGCGGGAGTATAATCTGTCTCTCTCCTCTCTTTCAGCATACCCTCATGCTTAATGCATATCTGCACTTGCCATAAATTCACAAACGATGCATTGCATAAACGGAGCGACTACAAACAGTCCTCCGTGAGCTATATCACACGGGCTTCTAATTCTTTCTTTTTTACGTCGCGAAGCCCTGCTTAAAGCTGGCGTTTGGATCTAAGGTCGAGCTTTAAGCCTCGATTTATGTGTACGTACCGTAGGTGTGAATGTAAATAGCCAATGTTGTGAGGAAAATAACGGTGGCATCGAGCCGTTCTTTCTTTCTCATGCACGCCTGAATGATTCACCGAAAAAAGGGAGCAGAGACGATGCGCCTTGCGTTCAACGATTAATGTTCGGAGGAATCGGGCGAGTGAGCGAAGGTGATTTATCGTATTACAATTGCGACGTGCGTGTTCTCCTCTTGCGCGATAATTTTCGCGCTTTTCATATCAATCACTCGTTTTTATATATTGCTGTTCGTTTTATATGTCGCGCGAGACAGATGAATTTATCACTTGGCGGTTTACACAGTTTGCGGATTTATGCAAGCGCCGAGCGACAGTGCAAAGTGAAATTTAACGACGAATTAAATTATGTTTTTTTTTTAGTTACTCGTTTTCTCTGTTTTACGAAAAAACCAGGTCGCTAAAGGTATCATTTTCATTCGATGTTTGCTATTCTTTTTCTTCGACATATGAAACCGTGACCCGCTTTCGCGTCTCGCACGCATTCAAATTTGATCTGCCGCGAATGCCCGGCCAAAAAACTTTGCGCCCTCCGGAAGTGCAGCTTCAGCGACGTCGAGAAGCGTGTATGGTCCAGTGAGATAACATAGGCAAAAGGGAGAGGATGGCCGATAAAAGCGTCACCCATCTAATAGAAAAGAGAGAAAGAGAGGAAAAGCGGGGTAACGAACGGAAAAGAGAAAGAGAGAGCATTTTCGAAGCGACGAAATGATATAAAATGAGAATGGAGACTATGGGGATGAAGAGAAAGGAGAGGCGTGGACCGCGGAAGAGAGACCGAGAGGGCATCCGCAGAATAGACAGACGGATGGAGGGACAGGAGGAGATCGCATCGGGTAAGCGAGAAGAACATCCCCGGGGCGCGCAGGCGCCATGTGAGGATGGAAAAGCGGGTGAGCTGCTCACTACGCCCGGGACGCCTCGCGGTCCTTTCCGCGAGAGGAAGCGAGAGGGCGAAGAGAGAACGCAAGTCGAGATAAAACGAGATGGGATGCACACCGTGGTCGCAATCGAGAGCGGGAGGAGAGAAGAAAGATTGCCGAGAGGAGAGGGCGTGAAAGCGCGCGCGCGCGACGATAGGACGCGGGACGGAGGAAGAGAAGAGAGGAGCCCCTGGAAAAGCCGGGGAGAGAACGTTTCGCCGCCGCCACCGACCCCCTCGCATCAGTAGCGCGCGCGCGGCAGTCGATGTTTTTCGCGAGGAAAAGCCGCTGTCGTGCGAGAATCAGTATCGGGCAATCGTTGCATGTTGAAGTGAGCAGCGTGTAGAGAGGAAAATTGGGAGGAAAAGGAGAGAAAGAGAGAAACAAGGAAGATAAATGAGGCTGGAAGCGGGCGCCAAGTGAGAGACGGAGGGAAATTTGATCCAGGAAGAGACGCGCAAGGGTGGTGACCCGTGACTTCGCAACGCGCCAGAAGAACATCCAGTCCGTTCGACACACCACGGATTGTACCACTGCTCCGTGCGTAATTCAGTAGCGACGGTCCGCGCTCTAGTCAGCTGCGACGAAGTAGCTACGCTCCGTGTTTTAGTCAGACGTGCGCGCTGCGTTCCCGCACGTCGTCGTTTTCCTGTGCGTCTCGTTGTCTGATTCCTCCGACACTGTCTCGCTCACCAGAATCACGTTGCAGCGACGATTATCGCGTGACGATCAATCACGACAACGATCTTTAAGTGTGCATGGGTGTCTTCAGACGATCTGTCGATCGGTTTTCATAGATCCTTGGACGATCATCGAATCAGAACAAAATATCGACAAGTGAATCTTGATCGTGATGCGTATGTGTATGTTTATCTGTGTGTAACAAGATTGCGATCGTCGCGATATATATCGGCGAAGTATTTCCCGTTGGTGGCAACCGCGACCAACCGACCGACCGATCGATCGAACGTACGTACGCCAGCGCGCGTGAATCCAGCCGAACCCAGTGATCTCGTGACCTTGTGACACCGCCTGGGGGGAGGGAGAAATGCACCCACTGAGAGACTGAGAGCACCCGCCTCGCGGTCATACGCCGATCTCGCCACCGTGTCGCGCGCCGCACGTCAGCTCCTCCCAGATCGAGAGGGTTAGCGAACAGGATCGAGGCGGAAAGTAAGATCCGCGCGGAGTGCGACGAGTCGTCTCGTGTATTTCGATCGGTGCACGTTTTGAAAAATCGAGATCAATCTTGAATTTTTCTGCGACGTATATCCGATATTGTCACCTCGATTGTAGCACAAGAACCAGCACGATCGATCCAGCGAGATACTCGAGAGGTACTACTCTCGAAAAATCTAAATCCTCCGCCGATCACAGTGATCTTGCGATCTTCATTAAATTGTCAATCGTTGCTTTCAAGGAAATACGTCGACAAATTTCTCTTTTCTCTCGCTCCTCACCAAGAACTTACGATCTCCATTCTCAAGCGAGATTCAGAACGATCATCGATCGGGATTTCGAAATAAAAGTCAGCGGCCCCATCCTACATATAAATCGAAGTAAAAATGTGTTTCATTTACAATCCGTATTAAAGTGATTGATTTAGACAAAAAAAATCGAAAAAAGAGATATTTTCTGGGAAAAGAAGGATCACGCGCCGATCGAAAAAATCCTGCGAATCGTGCGATCAAAGAAGCGGCACTGAGCTTTGGCTAACAGTTAAAAGAGGGGGCCTCGTGTTTCCCACCTCCTGCGGTGGAAAATTGAAGACGTATCGAAACTACCATGAGCGAGGGCACGCCGAAGTCGCAGACCAAGATCGTCGTGCCCGACGGTTCGCCAGCGCGTCCGCAAACTGGTACGCTATTGTCACTGTCATACTTTCCAACATTTAATTCCGCTCCAGTTCCAACCTGCTCAGCTTTCGCGTGCGCGACATACACGCCCAAATCGTGATGCATATGATCGTTCGCAAAAAATACGATGGTTTCGATAACGGTATCCGGAAAAATATCTCTCTCTTGTTCTATATTTTAGATTAAGCGATTATAATACAACATATTTTAGTGAAAATAGAAATTGATTATTCATAGAAAATAAAAATTAGATCAACACATAAGGTTACTATTAGTAACTTTGTTTAAATGGATCTTAACCTAAAAATCACTCAAAAATCGCTAAAAATTAGATATTTTTGTCAAGGAACAATTATAGAAATTACATGAGATCGATGAATTATTAAATTTTTTATTTTGAACAAAAATTGGTAAATATCAATTAATTCTTTTTTTTTTAAAGATTTTGTCAACTTTTTGCAAGCGTTCGCAAATTAATGGTCACTACTTTGCACTGGATAGCACTCGCGCAAAATATGGGCATTGAGAGAATCATAATGGCGGGATTTTCGCGACATTTTAAAGAGGAACTTCCTCTTTTTGTTGTCCGAGCGGGTGGCGAGGAACGTTTGTCTTATTCTGTCTCGTCGTTAATTGACTCAAGGTCATCCTTTTTTAGTCCGATACTAATTCAATTAAGCACAAGGTCGCGAGGTGAATCGATAGTGCACACGAGAGACAGAGTGGAGGCACGTATATACGACCACGAAGTATTCCCGTGTGTTTTTAATGCCAATAACTTCCTATAGATCCTATTGTTCGATATGTAGCAAAGTGAAGCTGTACGCTTTCATTATATTCACTTACTATCGAGTGTCAATCCGCGTATATAAAACTAATCAGATTTACAATTTTACGTACAGTTGGTGCGCTGTAAAATGATTGTCACACCTATACTCTTTCTTCTTCTTTCTTCCTCTCTTTCTCTTTCCGTTTTAGATACTCTTCAGATTTATTTCTACATAAAGTAGAGATAGTTATATTAAAACATTAAATATACTGTGTATTAATATATCTGAAAAACAGAAATCTTTCATATTAATCTTTTTGTATAACTATTGCTTATTATACTTGTTAAAACAGATCTGCATCATGCGACTAAATTAAACATTTGTATTGTTTAAAAAATAATCATTCCTAGATAGATGATCAAATGGAGAACTTGATTATTTAGTTACTTGTGAAATTTAATACACTAGAATTTCGAATTTTTAATCAAAAATCAATTAAAATTGGAGTCTGAATATTCTGGCTAAGAAAAAAAATTAATTCTAAATTGATCAAACATATAAAACAATTCTTCCTTGATTATATTAAGTATTCGTGAATAAGAAAAATTTGGAACTTACAATTAGAACAAGACTAACTTGGCAAGTTTAAATTCTATCTTAAAGATTATTTTACTAGTTCATATATCAGGCATCTAAAAAATTCCTGCAGAGATCCTTATTTTATAGTCGGAAATATTAAAATATAATCTAAATTTTACATTTAATTTGAATTCTATATATATATATTTATCATTTCTCAAAATATGACCTGTGCTTTTATATTGTAGTACCAAGATAAAACATATCTTATGTTCCAAATTGCGCGATTAAAATAATCTTAATCTCCTATCACAGATTAATATTAACAGTGTGAAAAATTGACAAGAAATTGAACTGAAGTTTAAAAGCTTCACATTAAAGATTTGTCGGTTTCCTCGATGAAGTGTTTAAGATTTCGTGAACATACGCGACTGTCGCACGATTAAATAGAGCGAAATGCAACCGCAAAAACTGATTTTGTCAGCGAATGTCCGTGTCTTTTTTTAGCGTCCTCGTCCGCAAAGCGGATGTCGCGAAAACGGCGACCGTCAGCAATCTACACGCATAACATATATACGTGTGCATGTAAATGCACCGGGCGAAGCAACATCCTTTGATCAGCAGAACGTGAAGCATTGCTTCGAATGCTCGGCAACAGCGACAATCAAAGGTCATAGTTCGCTTCGCGAGCGATGTAAAGGTTTTGATTCGATCCCAATTTATAGTCCGTTTTGTCGTAGCGATTTTTAAAACAAAAAGTAAAAAGTTGTTTGGCACTTTTTGATAGGTTGCTGAATTCTTAAGAATGTGATATAAGTTTTCATATAAGCCGATTTATCTTTGGAGTCATTCTAAAGCTTTCTTTTCTCTGCTATTTTGTGCGTATTCTGCACGAAACTGTATTAGTTATTATCTTGAAACTAACGAATGCGAATGATCTTATAGAATCTTTCGGTTATGTCAATATCACAGTTCGTATTCCGTCGTTTGAAATATTTGACTGAAAAATCACATTTTTGCGGCAAAGTAGAAAGAGATTAAATAAAAATGGACAATCACAAATCGCACATTATACTGAAGTGCGCATGATGGAGCACAAAACCATCAGAAAAATACATTTGTTTACATTTCGTTAGGACACGAGTGTTGCTCCAATATCTTTGATTCTGTTAGGATTGTTGCGATATATTTGGAGTCGAGTGATATTTTTTGAAACTTTGTTATCGAATGACGATAAGTTGTCAGATAAAATAAACACCTGAAACTTGCACAAGTATCTTTTTACTTTGTCTGTGTTATCTCATGATAAGATAAAAGTATTTTGAAATATAATTTAACACGCGAGAGAGAGAGAGAGAGAGAGAGAGAGAGAGAGAGAGAGAGAGAGAGAGAGAGAGAGAGAGAGAGAGAGAGAGAGAGAGAGAGAGAGAGAGAGAGAGAGAGAGAGAGAGAGAGAGAGAGAGAGAGAGAGAGAGAGAGAGAGAGAGAGAGAGAGAGAGAGAGAGAGAGAGAGAGAGAGAGAGAGAGAGAGAGAGAGAGAATAATATGAGATTGAAATAAACCAAGACTCAACAAATTAGCCAATAAATTATGATAATTCAAGTATCGAATTTTATTTTTAATTACATCTCTTTTTGCCTTTAATTATATTTATTTAGAAATTTTTCATATTATAAAAAAAAAATATGTATCGTTATGAGTTTGTCACCGAGCGAGGCACGATTACGATAACTACGGCCCCCTATTTGAAAGGTCATTTCTGAAAGCATTTTTGAAGAGAAACGCGAGAAAAATAGTAAAAAAATTTTCTGACCTATAGTTTTCGAGATATATCACTTTAAAGTATTGGACATGATAATAAAACGTTACAAAACGGACCCAATGACCTTGACCTTGACATATGTTGTGAAGATCACTGTCGAGAGAGAGAGAGAGAGAGAGAGAGAAATCTTATATATTATAAAATTATATAAATTCAAACTTTTATTCAAAATTGAATAGACTAAATTGTTGATCGTGACAAGGATGTTTAAATGAAGAACTTAACATTTTACGATACATATTTCTTTCTTAAACGATACTCGTCTTTGCAGGAAAAAAAATTATCTCGGTATACAATATATTGGATGATTGCATAAGTTCGTGCCCGATTTTCATAGATGGCATTAAGTTACTGCATGGCGGAGTTCTATTGTTTTCGTGTGGTAATTGTTGCTTACACCGAATAGATGACGTTGTCTTATGTCAATTTAGCGTCAGACATTGTTCAGATAAGTCCATTTGTGCATAAGAGAAATCATTAAAAATGGAAAACGAAAAGGTGCATTTGCGGCATGTAATGTTATATAAATTTCGGAAAGGCGTGAGTGTTGGGACTGCACAAAAAAATATTCAAACCGTTTATTTGGACCGCGCTCCTGCTCTCCGAACAGTCAAAAAGTGGTTTGGCAGATTTCGAAATGGTGATTTCAACATGGAGGATCAACCCCGCTCTGGACGGCCTTCTGGCATTGATAATGACATTGTGCATGCCTTAGTGGAAAGAAACCCAAGGATTACAACTGAGGATATTGCTAAGAGGCTGAACATCGATAATTAAACCGCTTTTCGTAATTTAAAAAAGCTTGGATACGTTTCCAAGCTTGATACATGGGTGCCGCATCTCCTGACTGAAAGGAATAAGCTAAACCGTATGACTGTGGCTCTTTCTCTTCTCGAGCGTAACAAAAAAGAGCCTTTTTTAGATCGAATGGTAACAGGCGATGAAAAGTGGATTCTCTACAAAAACGTACAGCGAAAGAGGACATGGAAAACAGCAGCTGAAGGAGCAGAACCCGTAGCAAAGGCTGGCTTGCATCCGATGAAGGTGTTGCTGTGTGTTTGGTGGGATCGCAAGGGAATTATTTACTTTGAGCTGCTCCGACGCGGCGAAACAATCACGGCGGACAAGTACTGTGAGCAACTAACTAGACTCGCTGCAGCTATTCGAGAAAAACGTCCGATTTTGGCCAATCGAAAAGGCGTCATCTTCCACCACGACAATGCTAGGCCACACGTCGCTCAACAGACGCTGCGAAAACTGCAGGAGTTGCAAGGGGAAATTCTACAGCACCTGCCATATTCTCCAGATATTGCGCCTTCAGATTTTTATCTGTTCCGGTCTTTGCAGAATAGTTTAAATGGCAAGAATCTCAATTCCGAGGAAGCTGTCGAAAACCACCTTACAAACTTTTTTCAAGAAAAAACAAGTTCTTTCTTCAAAAATGGAATCGACAAGCTTATAGATCGTTGGAAAACCATTGTAGAAAAGAATGGAGACTATATAATTGATTAATAAAAGTGTTATCTCTAAAATATAATCTATTGAAGTTTATATTTAAATCGGGCACGAACTTATGCAATCACCTGATACAAAATGATTGTATGTTTATAATTTTATCAAAATTTTTATTTAAATTTTCTTTAAATTTTAAAGTTCTTAATTGTTTGTAAAATTAATATAGAAACGATGTGTGCATACTTTCAGTGGAATATAAAAGTCAATGGGAGAATCCATGGTTATGGTTATGGATATGTAGTTGCCTTATTAATTCGATATATTCATACACATGGGATCTCAAGATGGATTGGGGCCTTTTAGACAGTAACGCCGG